CCGGTATATTGTTGTTTCATAGTAATAATTGTTACGCATAAGAAGGTTGTGTTGGTCATGTACATGAACTCAAATATATAAAATATGCAGTCTGCTATAACCCTCCATTTTTTTAAATCAAGGCCAACGATCCTTCTATTTACCAATGAATTCCAGAGGTTATTTAACAACAATTTATAATTATACAGCTGTATGTCTTACAGCATTAACTATATTTAGCCGTGTGGTTAGAGCCTTAGTCTGGGGATCAGATGGTCACAGGTTCAAACCCCACTGTAGTCAGCGTGTCCCTGGGCAAGACACTTCACCCCAACTTGCTCCTGTGGCAATTGCCCACGGTATCGAGTATGTAAGTCGCTTTGGATAAAAGCGTCTAACATGTAATTTACAATAATTATTTTTAACTACCTTCCACAAAACTGTGGTGGATGACAGAATAATTATTCTCCCGTTGAAGAGAAAGCCCTTCACAACAGTTGGCCCGATCAAAAACACTCTCCAGGAGCTGTGTCAACAATCAGGAGCAGACCTCACCTGAGTAAATACAGAGAGTTCAACAAGATGCAAACCATTGTTGAGCCTCAACAACAGGAAGACCAGATTAGAGTCGGCTAAAACACAAAGCCTCTAGAGTTCTGGAACAGCATCCTATGCACAGATGAGACAAAGATCAAACGAGACCAGAATGACGGCAAGTGAATAGGGCAGGGATGGCTGCCAATGGAACAGGTTCCCTTGTATTTATTGAGGATGTGACTTCTGACAAAAGCAGCACGATGAACTCTGAAGTGTTTTGGGCAATATTATTTGCTCATATTCATTCAAATGTTTGTGTTTTTAGGCAAAGAGGTGGAGTGTTCTGCAATGTCCAGGTCATTCACCTGATCTAAATCCAATTGAGCATGAATTTTAATTTCTGAAGACAAAACTGAAGGGAAAACAACCAGGAACTCAAGACAGCTGCAGTAGAGGCCTGGCAGAGCATCACCAGGGATGAAACCCAGCGTCTGGTGATGTCTATGGGTGCCAGGGTTCAGTCTGTCATTGGCTGCAAAAGATTTGCAACCAAATATTAAAAGTGACAATTCGATTTATGATCATGTAACTTGCTGCTTATGTACAAGATTACTTTTGGTCCCTTAAAAAGGCGATACCACGTTAAAATGTGTTTGACATCCAGATCTCTCAGGTCTTCAGGGACGGGTCAGCTTTCTGTCCCCAGAGTCAGAACTAAACATGGAGAAGCAGCGTTCAGTTATTATGCTCCAAATATCTGGAACAAACTCCCAGAAACCTGCAGGTCCGCTGCAACTCTGACTACTTTTAAATCCAGACTAAAGACTTTTCTTTTTGCCGCTGCTTTTAATTGAACTATTCATATCTTAAACTGCACTGTAACTTTTATTCATGTATTTTTTTCTTTTAATGTTTGTTTTATTATCTTTGCTTTTAATTACTGTTTTTAAACACAATGATCGCACGCTCACTGTTGTAATTATTTAACTCATACAGTATTCCGTAAACAACAGTACTGTGAGTTTCAAGTCCAGTATTTACACTTTTTACAATTTATATTACACCAATTTTAAAATCCTTACATTGGCTCCCCACTCGTTTAAGAATTGATTTTAAGGTTCTGGTTATTACATAGAGCCCAGCGTGGAAATGCACCGGAATATATATGTGACCTTCTCCATCCTTACATCGCCATTAGGTCACTTAGGTCTTCAGACCAGATTCCCACGGTCTCGTCTAAAAACTGAAGGTGACCGTGCCTTTCAGGTGGAGCTCCAACACTGTGGAACTCTCTCCCTAGAGTCACTACATTACATGTTACTTGTTAGACACTTTTATCCAAAGCGACTTACATACTCAATACTGTGGAATGTATTGAAATGCGTGTGATGTGTTCTGTTATGTCAGTTTCTTTCAGGACTCTACGTGGCCTTTGTTTTGTTTTTATGTTAACCTTACATTTCTGCCTCATGTGGTTATTGTATAATTTACATTTGTTCCAGCAGAAAAAGAGTGTGCTTGAGCAACGCATGCTGAGGTGTCCTTGAGCAACGCACTGAACGCCCAACTGCTCCCAGGCACTGAAACACTGGAAGCCCTTTCACTCTGCCCCCTCTCCATTAGTGCATGTCTATAGGTTTGTCCATGTGTGGTTGTATTTTGGGATTACTAAAAAGTGAGTCTTAATCAACTCCATCCGTTCTATTGATTCCTTTTCTTGAACATTTAATTTATTCAGTTTGTCGTGTTTTTGCTGCTCCTGTTAAAGCTATTAGATGGAAAGGAATAAAAAGAGATCACCGCAAAAACAACACTGTCCACACCTATTCAAACCTTTATATTCAAATTGAATTATCACTAACTATCCGAGTCATTTTTAGGAATGTAGTTACACCTTGGCAAGGAACACATTGGAATAAAAGGTTTCAAAATGTAAACTGTTAATCTGCCAGTTGGTTGTCTCAGTATACATACTCCCTTATTTTGTCTTGTAAAACAGGTTCCTACTGCATTCCCCCATTGTGAATATTGAAAGAAGTTTAACCATTGTGACAAGTTAGTTTCGAACAACACGTACAAATAGATCTCTACTGATGTGGTATTTGAGCCAGAACAATTGCAAGGAAAGTAAAAAAAAAGATTTCCTATTTGTGCATAGTTGAAGTGATAAGCAATATGGGAGGAGTGTGGTGCAGTGGATAGAGCCTTGGTGTTGGGATCAGGGGGTCACAGGTTCAAACCCCACTGCAGTCAGCATGTTGTTGTGTCCCTGGGCAAGACACTTCACCCCAAATTGCTCCTGTGGGGATTGCCCACAGTATTGAGTATGTAAGTCACTTTGGATAAAAGCGTCTAACAAGTAACATGTAACGTAACCTAATATGCAAATGAATCACTCTCATAATTCAAAACAATAAAGTTTATAGGGAAACATACAAAGAGAAGCATTTCTCTTAATGCTCTTATGAGAAAATGTCAATTTTGTGTTTCTATAAGCGTTGCATAATAGCTGATCATAAAAGCATTTAGTCATTCCTGCTTTGAAATGTGTTGCCACATGATTATCTGGGGACAAGTGTTAGCAGGTGTCTTGGCATGAGCCAGAGTAAAGAGAAATTATGTCAAGAGTGATAAATATAGCATGGCTCTATTATTACTTTGGAGATGTTGTTCGTTAAATACTGAATGTACTCTTCTAATATCAGAGAAGCACATGATAACAATCCCTATGTAGCTGTGTACGTAACCGGATGTATGATTACCTAGAAGAGCATCAGGACTGTTTTAGGCATATGATAGCTATGTGACACGATGATGATTCAGTCTCTATGGAGATAGACATATGACTGTCATGTTTATTGCTTACGCAGACCTTAGCTAATCTGAATGAAACATTGAATACTGCTTTCAATAAATCAATCAATGTTTATTTATATAGCCCAATATCACAAATGTTACATTGGACTTCATAGTTTGTACAGAATATCAATATGACAATACGAACCAGTATTCTGCATCTTGTGACTGTAACACTCTCTCTTGTATATAAGCATCTCAAGGACACTGTTCTGGGAACTCTGTGTGTGATGACTACTTCCAATCTTGCAACGATAATAAATACATGTATCCTGATATTGAAATTCAAGCCGGTGACAAGTGATATTTTTCCAACAGAGGTCAATAGAAAGTAATTGTGATCATACTTTAATTAAAACGCATAATACCTACTTTGTATGAAAACAGAGCAACACTAGAAATAATATGCACTCTACTTTATAGAAAATGATCAAAATAATATAAGACACAATACATCCAAATGATGCCGTTATCAGAAACTGCATACATTGCCAAAACAACATTTACAATGCCATATCCGATCCATATGATGCTACAGTTAGATGTTATACTGCCCTACAACCAACTGATATGAAGTTAACTTCATTATAATTGTCCTTATTTGGTAACAGTTAAAACATCAGATTGTATGTGTGTGTGTGTGTGTGGATTAACTCAAGGACTTTAAAACGTGGATGACCTTAAATTGTTTGATGTTAAACACGGCCAAAACTGTTATTGTAAATTATTGTACTCGGCCCAAATAATCTACGAAACAAATAATCTACGAAACAAATAATCTAAAGATATATTAACTATATCCTTATAGACTGTAAGGAATCTTATTTGATCAGGATTGATCCTTTAACGGCCACATCAAATTCATCTCACGGACCGCCTACTTCCATCTACGTAACATTGCCAAAATCAGGCATATCTTGCCTCAAAGCGATGCAGAGAAACTAGTCCATGCATTTGTTACTTCAAGGCTGGATTATTGTAACTCCTTATTATCAGGGTGTACCAAGAAGTCAGTTAAATCGCTTCAGCTGATTCAAAATGCTGCAGCTCGTGTACTAACCAGAGTTAGGAAAAGGGACCACATTACTCCTGTTCTGGCTGCCTTACACTGGCTCCCTATAGAACACAGGATTCTTCCTTCATTTTCTAAATTCATGGTAGTTTCAGTAATCCCATGGTACTTGAGGACATAAGTAATCTAAATGACTAATCTAATCTTTATGACTTTCAGAAAGGACAGGAGACCAACAGGTGACTATCAAAGGACTAGCAGCAGCAGCATGATTATGACGTTAAATGTGTTGTTTTAGGAACATCCATTGTAAATACATGGAATTCAATAAACATTGAATAGCATGTCATGCAGTTTGTCTGTGCCTATTCCTCAGTGTTGTCCTGGCATATAGTCTCTCCCATGGTTTGCTGTGCTGCCTGGGGATGCTCCAATCTTTTCGAAAAAAGAGTAAGAATGTACGGCTTCCCCACTGACACAGAGAGGAGGAAAAAATGGCTAGCTCAAGTCAACAGGAGCAACTTAACTATCAAAACAGACAACCGCAACAAAATATGTGAGGTAATCATATTCAAACACTGCATTTGCACTTTTTCACAAAACGAAGAACACACCATTGGGAAGCTTAATGTTTGGTTTAATACAAATAACAGGGAAAGGCTTGAAAAACACAGAGTTGAGACTCAAGGTGCAGGGTGAGGGTCTCAGTGCAGGTATTCAGGCTCCATTGAATCCCCCTCTGGTTCTTGTGCTGAAAGAGGGAGAAACAGACAGGAGAAAGGGTTATACACACCTATATAGCACACCTATTGGATGGGAAATTGCCTTGGGGAGATAAGGTGTGGTCTTTGTTCCCAAATGAAGTTATGGAACTTTATTATTTGTGAGTTTAACAAAGTATGACAAATGACATCAGTAATGGATGTGATATGAATTTGTATAAAGTATGTATGTGGTCAGACAAAACTGAGTTGTGTGTGTGTGTGTGTGTGTGTGTGTGTGTGTGTGTGTGTGTGTGTGTGTGTGTGTGTGTGTGACTCTGCAGGCACATTTTGATGCAGACCAGTTTGTCAAGACCAAAAAGGGCAAGACTAGTCTGAGAGCAGATGCTATACCCACCATCTTCGTGCATCGCCCTGTGGTCAAAAGGAGGAGGGCCCCTGCACCACGGGACCTGTATCTACAAAGCCCATAGCTGATGATCACAGCTATAGTGTGAAAGGTGACACAGGTATAATAAGTCCTAACTCTTAATAATAAAAGTAATATTTCTTATTTGTAAGTGGTATAATATTTATGTTCGAAAATTAACAGTGAGATGTCTTCTACTTACATTAGTCTCAAAGATTGAGGGAAGAAGGGATGAGGAGACTGAGAGAAGGGAAAGTGAGGGTGAAGAAAGAGAGAACATGGCTAGTGAGGAGAGACAGGGAGAGCTGACACCACCCAGTCAGCCAGCAGCCAGTCAGCATACCAGGGAACCAGCAGCCAGTCAGCATACGAGGGAACCAGCAGTCAGTCAGCATACAAGGGAACCAGCAGCCAGTCAGCATACGAGGGAACCAGCAGCCAGTCAAACAGATCTATTAAAAAAATTGCAAGAAGACAAGAAGGAATCACCAAAAAAACAAAGGCTGCACTAAGAAAAATAAGGAAGGAAAATGTAGCTCTCAAGAAAACAATGAAAATTAGGGACAACAAATTTAAGAAAACGTTTTCAAAAGACCAACTTAAGGCATTGGGCAGACTTACCACAAAGGGGATGAAATGGAGCAATGAGACAATTAAGAAGGCTTTAAAAATGAGCTTTGCTGCTGGACCAACAGGTTACAAAACTCCCAAGAAGCCTTTGATTTCATTCACCAAATTGAGGAACTATTTAGGACCAAGACTGGTTCCTCCCTCATGTAGCTCCCCAATGCAGTGGGTGTCTTGGAGAAAGAAGATTGGTTTGGACTAACCATTGCCCCTCCACCTGCCAGCACCACTGCTCATCCACCTGCCAGCACCCAGCCAACATCCTTGCTCCTCCACCTGTAACATCACTGCCCCTCCACTTGTAACATCACTGCCCCTCCACCTGCCATACAGTAGGTTATTAATATACACTAACAAGATTACTTATATAATACAGTGATAGAATACATGTTTAGTATGCTTACTTATATACAACAGTAGTATTAAACGTACCTTGTGTTTTCACTCTCACGTAGGTCACTCTCCCTTTGCCATCATTTCAAAATCAGCTGAGCTGCAACATAATACAGACAGGTAATAATCAACAGAATACACTAAAAACACTCACCCATAAGTTACGTTTTGGTTTACTGTTTGGAAGTCTCAAATATGCACTCTAAATTCATATCAATAGCGATGTATCACACACATGGCTCTCTTCCTTATTATTGTGTAACGTTAACTTTATTATACTAGCTTGTAGGCTATGGGCATAGATATGTCTCATAATTATTTGTGTGAACATAAAAATAGTGTGTGTAAATATGTGATTTGTAAATGTAAAACACCATCCACAAATGCATTTAAAAGATTTGCAAACTCACAAATAAATGTGCAAATGTGAAACGGATCTGCAAATACGCTAAATATTTTTCACAAATAAAAAAAAGATCTGTGAATATCTCTAACATTTACAACTTTCGATCAGGCATTTGTGAATCCATTTTGTATTTGTCGACCAAAAATGCGCTTGCGGCTCTCAAATCAGTCCTTTTGAATTCTCCTATCCACTTTCCCTTAACGTTTCACTCAGAGGTCAAGGTATATGAGATAGGGTTAGAATTTAGGAGCTGATTTTTGGATTATCGGAACGCAATGGTGACATCCGGTTTCGCTATGAGTGGTCGCATTTCCGAGAGCTCCCGCTTTGGAGGTTATTCCTCACGATTTTTTACATATTTCATCCTCCTGACAATATGGATTATGGACTCCTACCTCAACTCATCAATGAGGCAACATCACTTAGAGAAGGAGAGTAATGAAAGCGAGGATAAAATGAACCACAATTACTTTTACCTTCTCAACGGCTGGGAAAGGAAACACCTCGCTTTTGGAAGTGCAAGCATTCATGCATTATTAACTGCAAACCCGACGCGAAAGTACTTACCCCCGTCAGGCAAACTAGACCGAAGAAGTATGATCGTCTTCGTTTTATTGTTAGCGGGAGACATCCATCTGAATCCGGGCCCGGTGCAGACAAGAAACCAGTCCTGCAGGCTCGAGGAGTTAGCATCACAACTAGCATCTCTTCCGCTGCAGCAACAACTACGCGATGACAACAGAGACCGTGGAGACAGCGGAGATCGAGGAATTAACGGAGACTTCGTCATTCCTCCGGGGACGCCTCGGCAGACAGACACGCATGAGGCAGTGACGAGAGGAAGAGAACCGAGATCCGAGGGAACAAATATCCGCCATGTTGTTAGCCACCCTGCTAGCATATCAACGGCTAAAGCTACAACGGAGCCTCCCTCCCCCCCACCACCACCCCACCCCACCTCTCCAAACACCACGGCAGGCCGCAAGCCGGTTGCTGTAACGGACAAAGACAAATATCTGCAAGCTGACGACATTGTGCATTTAAGCAACAAAAATGGACTACATATTTTTCATCTGAACACTAACAGCCTGAGACACAAACTGGCTGAACTCAGGCAGCTATTCATGAACGGCAAGGCAAGCATATTATGCTTTTCTGAGACCAAATTGGACAATTCAATTACAGATTCAGAGATTGAAATTGAAGATTATCTTGTAGTGAGAAGGGACAGGAACGTGAATGGAGATGGTGTCTGCATGTACATACATAAAGACACCAATTTCAAAAACCGTACTGACCTGCATCATGAAAATATTGAATCTGTGTGGGTTGAAATTCTTTTTGACAATGCTAAATCTGTAATAGTCGGGACAATCTATAGACCACCGGAACAGAGTGACTTTTATGATACATTAGATGGGTGTTTGGCTGATGTGGGGGATGTAGAGACAATTATTATTGGAGAGGAGACTGGAACACGGATATGCAACGTAAAGACACGTCCGTCTTCAAGTCCTTCAGTAGAATTTGTGATCTGCACGGCTTCAGCCAGCTAATCACCCAACCCACCCGGGTATGTGAAACAACACAAACTACCATTGATCTCATTCTGACCTCTGACAAGTCCAGGATCTCCAGTAAATGGGTTATAGCATGTGGTTTAAGTGATCATTATATGATATTCTGTACCCGCAAAAAGCTAAAACAAAGGGCCGGCTGTCACAAAACAGTCATATCTAGAGACCTCAAAAACTACTCTAGCGAGGCCTTTAACCTAGAACTGGAGAGCCTGGACTGGTCAGATGAGCTCAGTGGTACACAAGTTGAAGAAACATGGCTTGGTTTCAAAAACAAATTCTCTGCAATACTCAATGATTTGGCCCCCCTAAGAACAACCAGGGTAACAAAATTGCGCTGAGCCGTGGATGCACTTCGGCATACTGACCGCCATGAAAACCAGAGACAGAAAATGCTCTGAGTTTCATAAAAGTCAGTCAATGCTTTCCAAAAGCACGAGCAATGAAAATTGTAAATAAGCAATCTGTATGTAAAAAACCACCTGTATGTAAATTGTAAATAAGCCATCTGTATGTCAAATGTGTCTTAATTAGGGCTGCCTGTATGGATCAGGTTTTTGCCAAAGCGAGCCCTTTTACTATAATAATAATATGCTATGTATTATATCAACCGTATTGGTACAATGAGCGACATCTAGTTACGGGTTTTGGAACATTAATTTGATATTTCTCAAGGCAGTTAGACTCCAGAGACAAACCAAGGCAAGGCAATTTTATTTATATAGCACTTTTCAGCACGTGGCGATTCAAATTGCTTTACAGATTAAAAGCAAAAGACATTTAAGAACAAATACAGCATGAATACATAATTAAAAAGGCATTTAAAAACAGGCATAATAAGCAAAGGTAATTAAATAAACACAGCAGGTACAGAATACATGACTTGTTAGTTGGGATTTTAAAATAGGAATTGTTTCAGCGGACGTGCACGATTTGGGCAGTTTGTTCCAAATTGTTGGGGCATACTAACTCAAAGCTGCTTTTCCATGTTTAGTGGTTATTCTCGGAACAGAGAGCAGACCCAACCAGGGGACTTTATTTTTAATCTGTGTCTATCCATTTGGTGCAGTATTTGATCCAATATTACATTTGGTTTATATATTAGTCACTTTCTTATGAAATGCCAGGTTTTAGGCCTTGATTTGAACATTCAATCCTGAAAATAAAAAATCAACCAGATTAATGTTTCTTTAATCCTGACCTGACCTAAGTAAATCTGTATAGGAAGAGGAGTTAAGGGATAGAGGAGAAAAGGTTATGGTATAATTACAGAGCCTGTCCATTTATAAATTGAGGAAATCAATGTTAGTCTGTTAACCAAAGTGCAGCCATCTATCTATCAACTATCTATTATTAAAGATCAGAGGAAAAGAATAGAATGAGAGGGGTAAATCCGGAATAAAAATAAAGAAGCAAAGAGATTGTAGAGCAGTGAGAAGGAAACAAGCTCGGTGTGTCAATTCATTACATTGCCAGTATTTTTCGTTGTTGTGAAAACAAATCGCCCCCTCGGATTTTTTAACAGCCCCCTCAGTCATTTCATCCTGGAGCCGGGCCTGGTTAGAGCTATTAGCTCAGGAGCACGCCGAGGCTGCTCCGTGCTGATACACGGGGGCGGTCGGGACTTCAGGGTCCGGGAAGAAGATCATGCACACTTGGGTAATGCTGAGCGTGCGATGCGAGGTCAGCCACGGGTTGACCCATCGTAAATCTGTAATTTCTGCAGGGAGAGAGGGCATTGGAAAGCTGACTGTCCAAAAGCCAGAAGGGGGAATAATGGGGGCCAGTTTAACTCTGCTGCTTGTGCTGTGTCTGTGGTACCCTTACCGGTCATCTCTCCCTGTCAACAGGTTAGCGAGCCAAGCAGGTTGAAGGAACCAGTTCTCTGCATTTTTGTCAATCGGATACGTGTCATTGGTGGGAAGTGACATCAGCATGCCGGTAAACATTTTGAGACACAGCATCGTTTGTTTCATACATTCTGAGCTCTGTGCTACCGTTTTCTGAACAATCT